CACTGAATAACAACAGCCAATAAACGCTAATCTCACTCTTATACACATGCTAATCAACTTTCAAAACGGCGAGGTGGTGTAGTGGTAAGCGTGATTACCTCTCACTCCAGCAGGCCTGGGTTCAATCCCAGTCAGCGCCGCCGGAATGTTCTGAGGCATAACATCTCTGATCACGCCTTCCTTCGGATGGGAAGTAAAGCCGTTGGTCCCCGATTCATGAGTTGATGGGTCGATAGGTAGGGTCCAGGTGTGGGAGCTGCCTTCCTGGCACGTTGGTAGCATTGGTGCTCAGCACGGAAAACAAGATCGACGGAAAAAACAAAAAAAGGAAAAAAAAAACCAACTTTCAACTTGTAGCTGCAAAACAAAGCTAATAACGTGAATAAAGGGTGATACGATCAAAATTTGGTCAAGGGAAAACGTGTGTAAATCGGTGAAATCGTTTATTTAAAAAATCAAATTAAATTTCTTTTTCAATTTCAATTAGTATAAAATTCAGGAAAAATATTCAGTTAGGCTTCCGCTTTTCCAAATCCGAATTGCCGGGCCTTACGCTTGACCCCTGCCATCAGATTTTGTACAGCCACCTTGTCCACCTTCTTCGCCGCAGAAAGCCAGTTTGCCTTGAACTGCTGCTCGCCCTTAGCAGTTTTTTTGGTCTTCTTTAGGTTCCGCTTGACAATAGCCCAGTATTTCTCAATTGGGCGGAGCTCTGGCGTGTTGGGAGGGTTCTTGTCCTTGCGAACCACCTGCACGTTGTTGGTGGCGTACCACTCCATGGCCTTTTTACCGTAATGGCAAGATGCCAAATCCGGCCAAAACAGTACGGAACAACCGTGTTTCTTCAGGAAAGGCAGCAGACGTTTATTCAAACACCCTTTCACGTTAATTTCTTGGTTGACAGTCCCGGAAGCTATGAAAATGCTGCTTTTCAAGCCACAGGTACAGATGGCTTGCCAAACCAGATATTTCTTTGCGAACTTTGACAGTTTCATGTGCTTGAAAACATCTGCTACCTTTCCCCTTCCTTTTGCCGTATAAAACTCCTGTCCCGGAAGCTGCTTGTAGTCGGCTTCGACGTAGGTTTCGTCGTCCATTACCACGCAGTCAAACTTCGTCAGCATCGTCGTGTACAGCCTCCGGGATCGCGTTTTGGCCGTCGTATTTTGTTTATCATCGCGATTTGGAATCACTACCTTCTTGTAAGTCGATAGTCCGGCTCGTTTTTTGGCTCGATGCACGGTTGTAGACGATACACCCAGCTTATTTGCGGCATCTCGGAGAGAGAGGTTAGGGTTTCGCTTGAAACTACCGGCAACTCTATTTGTCGTCTCAGCGGCTTCCGGTTTTCGATTTCCCCCCGATCCAGACTTCCTGGCTGTCGACAAACGTTCCCCAAACACTTTAATTACATTTGTAACGGTTGATTTGGCAACTTTTAGCGATTTTGCCAACTTTGCGTGCGAGTAGCTCGGATTTTCGCGATGCGCGAGCAAAATTTTGATACGCTGCTCTTCTTGCTTGGACGGCATTTTGACAACTGAAGAGTGAATTCCAAAATCAATATAGGAGCAACATTCTACACACACACACCTTGGTGTTGAATGAAAAAAAATGAGGGGTGTTCAGGTTTTTTAAATGCAAAATTGAAAGAAATACGTCAAGTTGATATTGACCAAATTTTGACCGTATCACCCTTTAATAGCTATTATGCTGACTGTATTCACCTTTATTCAGCAATATTGTAAAGTAATGCAATGAAATCTAATAAAGGAGCTGGAGAACATTTGTTAGACGTCTAATAAAGCATGTTATTAAATCAATTGAAAACAGTCGAATTAAAGTGTCAATGTATGTACAAATTACACTTATTCAGTTTGTTATTTGATCAAACTTCTGGCGTTGAATTGGGAAGACATTTAACACTTTTACAACTTTTAATAAGTAAATTAATCAGATCAGAGCAAACAGTGCAATAAATGTGCATCTATCGATCTCAATGAGCTTTTTCAGCACATAATTCGACAACTCTTTTTATTCAGCATTGTACACTGTTATACAGCATTTATTCAATATATATGCTTATTTGTGACTGAATTGTTTGTTGGGTGGTATAAGAGCTATTTTGCTGAGTATATTCACCTTTATACAGCAATATTGTAAAGCAATGCAATGAAATCTAATAATGGAGCTAGAAAACATTTATAAGACGATTAATAAAGCATTTTATTCAATAAATTGAAAACAGTCGAATTAAAGCGTCAATGTATGTGCAAACTACACTTATTCAGTTTGTTATTAGATCAAACTTTTGGTTCTGAATAAGGAAGACAGTAAACGTTTATAAAGCTTTTAATAAGGAAATTAATCATATCAGAGCAAACGGCGGAATAAAGGCGCATCTACCGATCTCTATTAGCTTTTTTCAGCACATAATTCGACATCCTGTTTTATTCAGCATTGTACACTGTTATACAGCATTTATTCAATGTGTATGCTTAACTGTGACTTTGAATTGTTTGTTGGGTAGTTATTCGGTATTCGCATAACAATTTTCGAACTTTGCGCTTAACTCCATCCATTAGGGTTTGTACAGACTCCTCGGATACCGTACTGTCCAATTTTGTTGGAAGTAGTTGTAGATGCTAATTTCAAATAACAGACTGAAGTGGTAATTTTTATACTTCAGATGAGCAGATGAAAGTATAGAATTGATAGTTCTGTTAAGAGTACGGCAGTGTGAAAATTGCATATAGAGAGTAGAAAGCGAGCTAGACAACTTTTAGGAAGGTACAACCAACAATCAATACGAAACTAACGATTTTAAATTGGCTCACTACTTGACTAGCCTATTGGTCCCAAGCAAACGATTAACGTACCCTATTCTAGTTGAAATTCTATTACTACACTATGTTTGTTTTGATTCGCTATGAAAGTTTGACAGATAACATCAGGGGTGTGTGAATTCATGCAGAACATGCAGGGGTGAGTGAAATAGCTTGGGACTGCTTGGGACCGTTGTTCTGGTACTGAGTGAGCCAAAAATAATAATGATTTTCTTCGGGACCCAGTGGTCTTAGAGTTACCTCTATGGTTTTATCATCTCTCTTTACCAAACTCCCCCTTTGGAGAGTTCTCTCGATTGGGCGTAACTCTGCACAATTTGGCAGATTTGCAGTTTTTGATACCACCAACAATCAATACGAAACTGTCGATTCGAAATTGGCTCACTACTTGACTAGCCTATTGGTCCCAAGCAAATCGATTAACGTATCCCATTCTATTCAAAATTCTAGTACTGCACAATGTTTGTTTTGATTCGCTATGAAAGTTTGACAGATAAAATGAGGGGTTAGTGGAATTTCCTGTGTTCCGAGGGGTGAATCGATTAGCTTGGGACCGAAGATAGTACCAGAGCTGAGCCAAAAAGTAGAGCTCGTTTCTTCGGGACCTACTAGCATAGAGGTAACTCTAATACTAGAAGGTCCCGAAGAAACGTGCTCAACACGAACCATGGACGTTGAGATTACGGAGCCCATTTGTTGACCACCCGTTACTTGTCTCTCAACGCTTGGGAGTGCTACCTCATGTTAGACGAAAATCATTCATTAGTCTCGCTTATGAAATTCATATGTGCCGATCATAAGTCGAGCCTTATGAAATTCTTAAGTTTATTTTCCTCAGTGGTAAACGTTGCTGGCATGTTTAAGGCATAGTGAAACATTATAAGAAAGGGGACGAGCCTGGGATTGAACTCACAACCTTCTGCTAAATATGCAGAAATGGTAGCCACTAAGCTACCGTTGTATTGTGGAATAATAAAATGTTTTAGAATCATCGATTGTTCTATAAAGTCTTTATTGAATAATATAGGGTAAATGACGGCTTCGGCAATACCTTATTCTATTATCGTCAGGTGGGTAAACAAAGTCCTAGAGCACTCAAATTTGGCCAATAGATGCTTTGGAACACATTGTATCCACATGCCAAAATTGAGCTCTCAAGAATGTTGTTTACCCCCTGACGATAATAGGATAAGGTATTGCCGAAGCCGTCATTTATCCTATTTTTTTTTGAATCAACAATGAAATCTACTTGAGCTTCAAATAAATGTTCAGTGATCGTTTGCTTGAAATTTGTATTTTTTATGCTATGTAGTGGTAAAATAGTTGTTTATTCCATTTCAGTCAAAGAAAACATCTGAAATTCTTCACCGCTACAACTCTTTGAATATGGACGTACAATTGAAGCAAACGGTAAGAATAGTGTTTTTTTCCCTCCCCCACAACACGCTCTAAATGGCGTCGCTTTCTCCCGTGCAACAGGTTGAGATGTTCCTGATCCAGCTGATGCACCATCCCATCAAATTTACCGCCTGTGGAATGTTTACGCTCGACTATTCCGTACTTTTCTCGGTATGTAAAACAACGGGTAGCTGTTGTAGGTGGCTTCCATTTGATGTCAGTGGATTAAATTTTCTTTTTGTCTAATTTCAGATCATTACATCGGCAACGAGTTATCTAATCATTCTCATCCAGTTTGAGATGGCGAATAATTGCGGTTGAAATCAAAACTAAATGTGATTGAAATGAAAACGGCTTTGATTTTTTTTTAGATTTTGGAATACTTAATCTTTATTTTATCAATAGCTCTCAGATATATACTTTTTTCAAAGAGAAATAGTTAACAATAATTTATTTCTTTGTTACACATTTTTTTCCGATGTATGAAATATATAGACAATCAATTACTTTATCACGCTAGTTTACATAGCACATACAGAAACAATAAAGAGTGATTAAATTACATAACAGCATTCGGGTATTGAGGCAACGTAGCGATTTTTGTTGTTGGGAACTAGTTTTTGATTTGTTTGAAAAATAAAAATCTGTGGTTGTGTTCTTCTGAATAATAGAAAAGTTGATAGAAACTTGGGATATACCTACTATGTAAAGATAAGCGATTAATTTAGTAAATGAACGTTGGAATGTTTTGATGGATTTCGTTATGCGCTGTAGTGTTTACTTCCTGCTATTATAGTAGGGGTGATTGTTCAGCTCGGACGCAATGATTCATGCAACCCATTGTTGGCGCTAAAGTATTAAAGAATGCAGATCGAGATCATAAATGCAAGCATAAAATTGTGTAAAACGGCTTATTATTGATGTCCACAGATATCACTTGATCTAGATCTATTATTCTACACAAGCTATGGTCTGTTCATTCGCTCAACACTGCGAGAGGTTTGATTATTTCCAATACTTCAAGGGATATAAAATTTCTGTTATGTTTAAAAATTCTGTTCAATGATTTTCGCCAATAACGATTGATGTATGCACACTATTTCAAACAATGAACTTTTGCAGACTGGTTGTGATTCAACAAATAATAATACATAATCAATCAAGAATAGAGCTCGTCTGACAGTTGCTACACTTATTTTCAATCGTTCAACGATACATTTGTCTAAATTTGAATGAATTCTATTCGAGGGAAGTGCACAAAACAAAGCCAATTATTATCGCGGGTTCAATCGTGTATTAAATTCAAACCGAGCTTGTCATGCTGCAATAATTTCAATCCACAATACATATTCGGTATATCTATGTACATTCTAGATCTCGACACGATTATATCAGAGCAGTTTGCTTGATATGTCCTGCATTTGGTCTGCAACCACATGTGCACAGAGCTGTTCGAGAATCAGGTAAAGGTGATTATTTACAAAAAAAAAAAAAAAAACGCTGTTTACAATATAGAGAAAAATAAACGTTTCAACATTGGTCGTTTCGTTTAGAACGAGCTCTGCTATCCGAAAGTAAGCTGAAGATCTACGTTGCTATACCGCGATTGGTATAGTATAATGAGTTCACTTATAACGATACAAAAAAAAAGGATGAATGTGTTGTCCTACTCTCACTGACTCTTTTGTTCCTATTTGCTAATATGCTTCTTATATTTGCTTTGCTCTACTTTTGATGATGAGAGGGTGCGAGTTCCGAACAAAGGAGAAATCTACGAAATTCTTGCATTGGCGTCGGCCAAGTTGATCGAGAGACGCAGGGTGTTTGTCAGCTTTCTACTATTGTTTTCATCGTCAGTACAAATGGTATTCGCTGCGTTCAGCTCGTCTCAGGCAATCTCTTTCGCCACCGGCACGATAGCTTCCCAGTACTTCATTTGCTGTGGAAAATTGACAATTATTGACAACCAGAAACAGAAGAAGCAAAACATACCTGCTGCTGATGTGCCATCTGATCTTCCAGATACTTGATGATGGTTGATTTGAAGTCTCGCGCACGGGCCAGCTCGAAGCGTTCCATCTCCTTCTTAATCTCACTGGAAATGTTGTCAAACTCCTTCTGACAGCGTTGTACTTTACCTTCCCACTGAAATCGAATCTCAACTAATTTGATCTTCATTATTGAAGCAAAACCAACAACTCACCTCTTCCACCTCCTTCTGGGCAAAATCCAGCTTGTCTCTTCTCTCCTGCAGCTCCAGTTTGGCCTTATTCTCGCGCTTCTTCGTCAACTGCATCTGCGCATGTTGCCAGTTTTGGAACACTTTCACCCGTTCGTGAAAGACGTCCTTTATCGCGCCGAATAACCCAATGTAGTCCTTGATCGTCTCGCACAGGATGTACAGATCCGAATTGGCCTGTTCGGATCGCAGCAGTTCAACCTTCTCTTCCACGTCAGCCAACTGGGATAAGGCCTGCGAAAGTCCCGTATGTTCCTCACAGGTACTCAACAGAGCAGCCGATTTTGCCACGCCTCCCGTCAGGGTAGCAAGCTCCCGTCGGTGAGTAACCAGCGCCTTAAGCGCCGAGTGCAACTTTTGCATGTGGGCATCAATATTTTCCACTTCGTTGATTTTATCATTGAACCACGGATCGGTTTCATCCATCTTATAGGTAATCTTATTGACCGTTTCGCCAACCTTATTGAACAGCCTCATAACTCCCGCCCCACTCAGGGCAGCCGTATTGACCGCCCGTGGCAGTTCCAGGTCGCTTTCGAGGAAATTTACAAAATCAGTATCCTGACACAGGATCGGATGCTGGGCCACGCGGTTTAGGAAACGCTCCAGCGAAGCCCGCCGGTTCTCCACCCACTCCTGGTTGACTCCAGTACCGGGGTCGCTCTGCGGTTGACTACCCATTCTCACCTTCGTCGTTCCGATGATGTTCTTCTCCGGAGCCGGTGGAACGATACGACCCAGCCGAAGGTACTTGCTCACCAGCAGACCATGCAACCCGAGGAAATCACTGAAGCGACGCATCGTGAAGAATTGGCGCTTTTTGAACTTTAGAATGTTGGTTTTGGTGGAGACTCTACAAGAACGAAGATCGTCAACTTTAGTGTTCAATTCGTTTTCGGAAAGAGAAACTTGCACTCACTTGTAGGCAAGGTAGGATCCCATACCATCGCCGACCTTCTGCGGATCGGAGACTGAAATTTCGATAAACGCATCCCCGGATTCGTCCGTTGGGACATCCTCCAGTACGGGCGACAGTGGTTCCTGGTGTGAGGAGAAATTTCAAATTAACAAAGTTTTCGATTTTGCAAGAAGTTTCAAAATTAACGTTTTTAAACTTTAATTGTTTTATGAGAAATTTAGCACTGGTGCAGTCATGGCAGAGGAAAATGTGATGCCACTCTTACAGTCTTCAAAATAGAGTACCTGGCACTGCCAAAAATTGCTGATTTTAGATTCACATTCTAAACACGTCCTTTTTAGCATTCTCAACACAAAAATCGCTTGCTGTGCCCCGCCCTAATAGAAATTTCCCGGCATTTTTCTAACTGCAGCGGGACTTAGCAAACAAATTTTGTTCAGCTTAAAGGCGGATCATCGAATGTGAATCCTAATGCATAAATAACATTAAGATTCACATTCGATGATCCGCCCTTTAAGCTGAACAAAATTGGTTTGTTAAGTCCCGCCTCAATTAGAAAAATGTAGGGAAATTTGAATTAGGGCGGGGCACAGCAAGCGATTTTTGTGTTGAGTATGCTAATGGGGTGTTTACACTTGTGCAATTTCACTACCGCTAATGAGCCAGCTGCTAGCAAAAAAGCTTACCAGCATAATGTAAACAGGGCACCAGCGTCTACCAGCATGAGCTTTCAGGAGCAACTGAAATTCGTGTAAATTGACTAGTACACTAGCGCTAGCAAATCCACACATATGTAAACACCTCATAAAATCAAGCGCCACGGAGTGATTTTTGTTTGCCAGTCTAAGACTGAGGAGCGAGTAGCGCCGAGTTTTCGTGACAAGCTTTTCCGCAACTCGTGATGTTGCATTCCCGCCTGTAAAATATGCGCGCGTAACATTTGCGACGTCAACCTCGTTATAACCAGGAGCACAGACTCGTTGCCGATAGAGTGACGTCACACACATGACACGTAATTGATGAATTTACATTACGGTCGACCAGCAGATGGCAATGATGTGAAAATGATAATGACGTTTTGCTAGCTGTCAAATCGTATGGAATATTTTTTAGTACATCATCACTTTTGTGGTTTTGGATTTCAAACCTAGGTGTCGCATGCACTGGTGCAGTTTCGCGTAGATTCATCAATTGGCGCCTTGCAGTGAAACTTTTCCAAGCTTTCGCCTCCTACATTTCGAAGTGAGAACTACTAGAAGGAGGATAGTTTCCAAATGTTCCAAGTAAAACAGACGATTTTTGGGGCAAATCGGTCCATAAAGAAAAACTAATAATTTCCCGTGGAAACTTTCGCTTGAATCGTGTAAGAAAACATGTTTGCAAACTAACTGTTATTATTTCGGTATGGATCGGAGATGTTTTCATGGAAAATTATGCATAACAAGTTTGCACCCACAGGGAGAGGTTACCTCCTGCGCAGCTGCATTTTTCGGAAAATGGTGAATATGTGCGATTTCCAGTAGGATGAAAGTGGAAATTAAGTGAATTTACTTAGGAAAGGTTGTATCATGCTGGTGGTAATGGAGAATTGGTTGTATAGGACGCCAATATTCAATGAATGTTCATTTTGGCCTTTTCTTAGCAAAAATATTGATACTCACAATTTTCGACGGAAAACGCAACGGAACTTGCTTTACTCAACACGCACTATACTATAAAATGGTGCTAGATGGTCTTCAAAGTGATAGCAAGATGACAAATCATCTTTATTTTGAGTAATTGAGCAATTTACTTCTGTTTACATCATATTTACGATGCAGCATTGATGGAGCCGCGAAATGAAATGAATATATCTTATGAAAGTTCAACTGGAAAAGTCAAAGATGCACATCAGTCTGATCGTAAAAACGTTTTCTTCTTCAATTCGAATGTTATATTGGGAGGATTTTACACGAATTTTATATGCAGTCTGTCAACATTATCATCATCATGCAGTGGCGACATCTGCGTTGAGCTTTTACGGTAATTTTCCAATAGCACATGAGCACTTAGTTAGGGAGAGAGAAATCGCACACCCATAGGAGAGAGGAACGAACACACACAAGTACAAGAAATCGATAGAGAGAACATGTAAATAAATACGTAGAATAATAATGTTGAAACAACGGTTTAGTAAATACCAGCTAGGTGTCAACCCTGTCATGTTTGCCTTACCTTGACAAGAGCTAACATCGCTACGGACCCGCGAATTGTGGGCCCCACTGACAGTTCATAATTTCAGGCGTAACATTTGATAACGACACAAACCTTTTGTAAACAAATTTTTTAAGGCCCTCTACACGCGAACCGAAGTACGCTCACGCAAACCAACAACATTGTTGGATAGGGGCAACTCTCACCGTTCCGAAAGTGGTATTGGTTTGCGTGGGCGTACTTTGGTTCGCGTGTAAAGGGTCTTAGAAAGTTTGTTTACAAATGCTTTTGTGCCGTTATCAAATGTATCGCCTGATTTGTAAATAAATGGAAGACTCAAGCGCCGGCGCCGGTGGTGTAGTGGTAAGTGTGACTGATTTCTCACCCCAATGGGTCTGGGTTCCATCCCAACCGAGGTCGGTGGGATTTTTTTGAGGCATAAAAATCTCTGGTCACGTCTTCCTTCGGAATGGAAGAAAAAGCCGTTTTTCCCGGCCCCTATGTGTGTTGAATGGGTGCGATATCCTACGCAGGTCTGGAAGCTGCCAAGGTAAGTGGCCGCTAGTAACCAGAAAAATATTCGAAGAATCGTTTCATACGTATCGATTTGATGTGTCGCATGGCCATTCTTATTAAAAAGTTGATTGTGGCCACCGAATCTGGTATCCGGAACATCCGGTTTAGGTCAATGGCCACTTATAACTAGAATTTTGGCAAAATATTCGAAGAATCGTTTCATACGCATCAATTTGATGTGTTTTTATGTGTCGCATTGCCATGCCATTCTTATGAAAATTTTGATTGCAACCACCGGAACCTGTGTCCGGAGCATCCGAATTAGGTCACTGGCAACTAGTAACCAGAAACATGGCAACATATTTGGAGAATCGTTCCATACGCATAAATTTGATGTGTTTTGATAAGTTGCATGGTCATTTTTATGAAAAAAGTAGAAGGGTCTGTGCCTAGGGGCACGAACGGAAGCTTGACGTAGGACCACTAATGGACGGAACAAATGTTAACATTTAGTTCTTTTAATTGAGCAATCATTAATTATCTTAACTCTTTCCGTTTTTTATTTGTAGGCGTATCAAATTTGTAGTATTTATTTCAAAGGGAAAGTTGATGAAGAGAATCCAAGGGACTGTCAACTTGAGTATTTTCGATTCATCTACTTGTCTTTAAAAGATGTATTTTGATTTTTTTGTTATTTATGAATTTTTAAGTTTTGTGCATTTTGGTATTAAAGTGCATTCAATTCACCCCTCACAGGATTTCTTCCGAATTATATGAATGGGGCGGGGCGAAAAGTATCGTTTGTGCAGAATATGTAAAAAAGGAGGGACTTCGAGAGATTGAACTCGTGAGAGCTAATTTTCTCACAAATTTGATTTTATTGGCTTCCTGAATATACACCCAAAGTGAATTATTCCCACTTCTCTCAAAATCTATATGGATTTTTAACACTTCCTACCAGCGTGTTCTGGAAAATGGTCGGACGATGATTAATCTCACCAATACATTTGGGCCTACAATTCCACACCTTCTATAGAGACCAGGTTGAGCCTTGATAGCTAGCTGCTTGCGGGAACTGATGACCTTGACAAATGTCCAAATAATACTCTTAACAAATTTATGGTGGTCCTGAAAAGGACCGTTTTGTAGTGATGGTTGAGTAATGCTGAGCTGAGCACAGCGAGCTACTGATTCCGATCCTAGCCTAGCGGTGGAACTTCTTCCTCCTTCTCTATGGTTGCTCATATGAGCTCTGCAGCTCGCTGCTTGCAGGCAGCCTTTCGTTGTTGTTGTTGTTGAAAGCACTCCAGCTGCTGCTGCTGGACTGGACACCACCACTTACGGTGGGACCGCATCGAATTCGATTTTTAAGTCTGTGTTAGGGAATGCGCTGTTTTCAGATATTCGGTGATAATTTTGATCACCATTGCAACAGTTGGACATTTGGTATTTTTCAATAGTGACCTATTGAAAATTAACTAAGTTTTCATTTTAGCAGATTGGTAGACTACTATTGGTCGAAACCTGACCTCTTTTCGTAATGCTGTACATTTTGGTTTTTTTTGTTTTAATTGCGTGGATTCTATAGATCCTGTGGAGATCTATCTAGCCCTGATGTATGTGTTGATAGATTGAAAAATGTCAACTTTGCGGGAGACGATATCTTAACACTCGAAAGCAATTTTGTGAAATATGAAGTAAAACAAAAATCCTAGCTAGTTCTGCATGATGACCGTTTTGTAGTGATGGTTGAGTAATTCTGAGCTGGGTGTTCAACACGGATGAGGCTATGTCGTTTGGAGCGAGGGTGACACGCATGGCATAGATGACCGACCCGCAGCGACTCACGAAGAGCTACTGATTCCGATCCATAGCATAGCGGTGCAGCTTCTTCCTCCTTTGATGGTTGCTTATGTGGGCTCTGCAGCGAGCTTGCAGGCAGCCTTTCGTTGTTACTGGAGAACAATTTTCAACGCCACACGCCGAAAGCACTGCTACTGCTGCTACTAATTTCGACGACCGAACACCACCACACAGTGGTGTGGTCGCTGGGAGCGTGTGGTTCTGAGTATGGCGATGAGTGTGCAAAATATTACGCAATTCCATCCTCCCTATTCGCACGCGCCGGAGGATCGGAGGCGAATGCCACTTCGACTTGTTTCGTCTACTTACTACTCTCTGACGACTGTGCTGGGGAAGCAGCACATACATGTAGGTAATTGGTGGATTTGTTAGTTAATTCGACGCTTTTGGACAATACTGGATATTTACCAGTTTTTCAATAGTTTCTTGTTGAAAATCGATACTCGGAAGCGTCGATGCGTAGCCATATTTCGGATCGATTGGTGATAAAGTTATTGAAATTGGACCAGGGGCAGCTGAGTTATTAACGTTCAAAATCTTTCTTAATTTGTTACATGTTCCATTTTCGGTTTTCACAAAGTGTACCCCCATATAGAAATCAAAGACGTAGTCCTACGTCAAAAGTTGAGTATGGTAACCGAATCCGGTATTCGGAACGGATTAGGTCACTGGCTACACATAACCATAATATTGTCGAAGCATTTCAAACGCATCAATGAGTTTAGATGTGTCGCATGACCATTCTGTGACCGCACTGTGCCTAAACCTGACTTCATTCAGCATTGATTCATTTTATATCAATCGTGTCAAAATTAGTTCTATAGGGTGTACCAGAAAGTATAAGCACACTTTCAACTCACCGCCATTTCTACCCCAATGAAGTTTATCAGCTGTTCATCGATGTGTGCTGTTGTTTGCATATTGCTCAACAAGTTTGTGTGTGCAAAGTGCATTTTTTTCAAAATCATCAAAATGCGAGGCATTTCCCCGGAAAAGCACCAACAGATCGTGCACAAATGGTGCTATTCTCGCCTATCTGTAAAACCTTAAAGGAAGTTGGCGAAAACGGAGGCAGTAAGTATCGGAGCAGTCCAAACCGCCATCCGGAAGTTTGATGAAGAAGTTACCTTCGACGACACATCGGAATCTAGCCGTAAACCGAGACTGGTGGACTGAAAAATGGACAAGAAGATCACCAATCTCTCGTTAATAAGAAAAGTGCCTCTGTTCGAGATTTGGCAAAAAAAAAAACTGAGATCATCGAAGGATAACGTCCTACTTGTGAAGGCAAAAAACGGGCTGAAAAAAACGGAGTCAGAAACAAGTCGCACCCGTGAAAGCGAGGGCTTGGAAGCTATATGATGGCCGGCCTGCTATGTGAAAAATTGGCGTGTGTTATCATGGCAGATGATAACAGATGTTATCACCGGCAGATGGAAATGATGTGAAAATGATAATGACGTTTTGCTACCTGTCAAATCGTATGGAATATTTTTTAGTACATCATCACTTTTATGGTTTTGGATTTCAAACCTAGGTGTCGCATGCACTGGTGCAGTTTCGCGTAAATTCATCAATTCAAGACCAACAACTGAAATGGCCTTACCTCCATTTTGTAAACAAACCTTGTAAGGCCATTTTCTCGCGAACCGAAACCTTCATTCGCAAACATAAACCCCAATCGTGTAGAGGAGAATTTCCCCTACCTGTCCATTATGTTGGTTTGCCTTTGCCGACTTCGGTTCGCGAGAAAATGGCCTCACAAGGTTTGTTTACAAAATGGAGTTAAGGCCATTTCAATTGATGGTCTTGAATTATCATTTTCACATCATTTTCATCTGCTGGCCGACCATAACGTAAATTCAGCAATACAAGTTTTTGCAGAAATTTAACTCGAGCCTCAACGTCTGTTCTCTGTGGTTTGCCTGTGTCAAAAAAAAACTGAAAGAATCCAGTTTAAATTGAATTGTTGGCATCACTGATCTGTATAACCACAGAGAACAGAAGTTCCGACCAACGCTCTGGAATCATGTTATCTTTCTACTGTTCAATACTGCGCTAAACTAATGCAGCATCGTCATGGCATTGTAACTGACTTGCGGCTATTTTCCTCATTGACTTTAAATTTAATCGCAAGTCAGTCCCACTCCATCACATGCATGTTTCTCCAAAATAAGTGTAAAATCAAAAAACTTGTAAAATCATTGAAAGTCGTTCTCTCATTTCCAGTTTTTTTTTACATATGGGACTGACTTGCGGTTATGGGTAGAGCAGGTATGTTTCCTCTACCAGCTAGCATTGCTGATTTGGAGCGGTGCGAAATCGACGGCTAAAGGCATTGCTTACAAAAGCAATTACGCCCCTTTGAAATGTTGCCACTGAATTCAAAACTACCAAGCCCATACATTTCAAGGGGGTGACTTGTGACAACCAGCATAAGCGTCTTCCATCGGTTAATAGAGTCTTGAAAAATCAACAACATAGTTATAAAACAAAAAAGGGAAGACCAAATAGGTATTTACAGCCGAATTTATTGTGTTCCAGGTTCCCAGGAGCTAATAATAATGATTCGCATAATCTTTGCTATCAGATTTAAATCACTTTTCCAACTAGCTAGGATTTGGAATTAGGAGTTAAAAGTAATGATATTTACACCCAGCTGCGACTAAATGACCTAAAAGATTGGATGGGTTTCCAATGAACAACTAACATCAACATTGAGTGTTAGTTTTCGAGTTTAGGCGATAAGTGAGTTGCTTTACAAGACAATCAAAACGAGAACCGAAGATTTCACAATCGCAATCACAATCACATCACATCTCCTGAACTAATGAACGGAAGTGTTGATACGTTTCATACTCGTTATGCACCAGGGATGACTTCTTTTCCCCAGCCGAAATCGTACTGCTCGGTATTGTTTACAAAAACGCCCATTCCTCGTATAGCTTATCTTAGCCGTAAGTCCGATAAGCAATTTCCAAACAACCGCATATCACCAACATTAGCACACAATTTGACGCTAGTGTCTAATAGACTCGTACCAACGCTGCTCCAAGGAACAAACGAAGAGAAAGCATGATTCATCGACATCGTCCGCAAGCTTACTGATGGAACGAGAGAATTGAAGAAAAGGAATCCTCACCGGAGCGACGACGTTCGCACTTTTCCACATTCCCACATCATAATCAAATGGAGCATATATAATTAATCCAATTATTTATGATATGGGCACGGTCGTCTTTTTAAAATTAATAAACACAGCCACCTTCACCCATGCAATAGCTTCCGCAAAACAATGAAACCACAGAACGCAGTGGATTCAGCACTTTATCGGTACCTAATTAAATCAAATAATACACAAAATCAAACCTGGATCGCGGATTCGAAGATATCGTTCTCGTTCTCGTCGTCTGGCGAAGTGATGTCGACATTGTCGAATAGCGGAGGTTGCTGCTGGCCCGTTTGCTGTTGCTGCTGCTGTTCTTCACTGGTTCCGTTGGTTTCCATGATGGTGGTGTAGTTTTTCCTCTATTCGTCAAACTCCTGGACCTTGGCGTTGTGGCGTGGAAAATTTCTTCCCAATCTACTTTGAACACCCGCGGGAAGGGATACGCCTTGATGGTGCTGACGAGATACTTGCACCCTATAGTGTCTGGAGAGTAATCAGCTACTACACTCGCGAGGGCACTTATCTTTTGTTCCTGTCGTGGCGTTTTTCTTTTCTTGTACCGCGGTGATAGTGGTGTTCGGAAATTTGTACAATCACAAGTGCGAGCGATCACAAAAATTCTGATGCACCCTTCGTCAGCAAAATAGCTATTAATTTTGATGGGGGAAAGTGTCAGACGTAAAAAGGAACAGAGGATTGTGGTGGAAACTGTCAAAACAGCGGTTGGCGTTTGACTCGTCATGACACGACTGTGGCTATTTTTAGTACAGTGGGGAGCTAGGCTTGAGCAAAAACACTGAACAAAAAATAAACAAATTTCACTAATGTAGAATCAAATAATTCTCGCGTCACTTTTCAAATAGACCAATAGGTATAACATATCCACCATTTTGAGAAAATCGAAGTTGAAGTTCGACAGAAACAATACATTTTGCAGTATTATTTTTAATGTAGTCGGTGAATAATAATGTTGAAAATTCAGTAGAAACGGTAAAATCACAATCGAATCAAAAAATTCACTTTGAATTTCATACTACAATATTGAAAAAAAAACCACTTAGGACGTTTTGACTAATCAAATTGTACATCGGACTTGTTATACACCGTACAGACTATGGCTTATATCATGTTATATAGGCTGTCTTGCAATGAGCACTCATACATAGGATTTCGAGTTAAAACTAGATGTATGAGCGCTCATTGCAAGACAGCCTTTATTACATGATATAAGCCATAGTCTGTACGGGGTATTACATTGGATGATTTTTCTGAATGACATAATCAATGAGTGTTTATTTATTTGTTTATTTGTTTATTTGTTATGGTTGCATCAACAGACTAGAAATAGTCCCAATGATGTGTTGTAAAAAAGTACAGATTATACAGACGACATACATATACTACAGTTACTACAGTTACAAACGAAAATAACTTGGAAAGCATTGTCAAGTTACTAAAAATTTATAAGTCTTAAATTTTACACTTAGCTGTTGGGTATCAAGCGCCTTCGGTCAGCAAAAAAGGCAGAGAATCTTCGGCGAAGCATATTCCGTGTCAAGTGGAAATCGAACATCGACGCTACTCGGTTGAACACAAGCTGCAAGCCGTAAATAGCGCTCCCTATGCTATAATTAGTTCGAAGAAGTGGAAGTCTCAGCATAAGACTGTTGCGTAGTGATCGAGGTTGAACATTAATGTTCACTTGTTGCAGAATTGCTTCGCAGTCAATTCTTCCTTGCAGAGTATCAGCGACGGTTAAGGCTCTGAAAACATCTCTTCGGATACGTAAGGGCTCGATATTGATCAATTGGCAGCGATTCTCGTAGCTTGGAAGACGAAGTGGGTATCTCCAAGGCAGCTTACGGAGCGCGAAGCGAAGAAAATGTTGTTGAACAGATTCAATTCGCTCGGCCCCATTATTGTAGTTCGGGCTCCAGACAGCAGAGCAGTATTCCAACGTAGATCGTACGAGAGAGCAATATAGCGATTTCAAGCAGTAAATGTCCGTGAAGTTCTTAGTAATCTTGAAGACAAAGCCAAGCGTTCTGGACGCTTTGTCGACGACATACGATATATGGTGTGAGTATGTCAGCTTTGAGTCTAGAAAAACGCCTAAGTCTTTCACGCAGTGCACCCGTTCGATAGTCGTGCCGTGTTACATTGGACGTTTTGTTCTACATGATACTAGAATCCCTGTCACAGGTTTCAGAGTAGTGTATCTAACTTTAGATTGGCCCACCTTAAGAAAATGAGCACCAATTATGTTAGGCAGTTCAAATGACCGAAATAACAATCATGTACCCATCATTTCAAACTGTACATTAGACACTGTTTGACCTTTGATTATCTTTGGATTTAATTTTGAATGGGTGTTTTTGTATCACATACAATGATAGAAGAGCAATAGATTGTATCGCTTAACTTGATTTGTTTACATTTGTTACTTAGGACCTTTTGAAAAGTGACACGAGAATTTCCAAATACAGAGAAAAAATAGATTTGGCATTTGGCTGGAATAGGCATCAGTAGAGTCGGTGTATAATGAGTCACGCCAAGAGTGAAGCCAAGTCTACCTACATAGCTAAAAAGTTGTTGAATATTACATCGAAACTGCTGCAACCAGGTCAATCCATCGGTTGTGTAATATCACATTGTACAATGTACATCGATTTTGCGAACAAAATTACATCCATTGATGTAATATTGTATCTTTGTTTTGCTATTACATCATTATTTCATACATCAGCTTGAATTACGTTGATCGATATTACATTTTTTTTTGCTGTGTATCGAACTGTCAAACCAGCTACCTATCGTGTAAAGTACACGGTAAGAAAAAAGTACCCAACGGCCAGTTCACTTTTACCTACTTTTGACTAGTTTGTCTCCTTTTATCCTTCTAATGTTGTCAAAAACGGAGGAGCAAAACCACCCAACAAGGGTTGTAAAGTGTGGGAGCCCAACGTTGAGTATAATCATATTTACCTACTGTTGGGTACAACTAACTTACTTTTGGTTAAAAAGCCAGTGGAAAATTCCATACGAACTGCACACAAGTAAATGAAAATTACTTTGACCCGCTTTACCTACTTTTGGGTTCCTGCACTATAGTACCGAGATGAGTGAAAAGAACTTAATTTTGGGTACTTTTTTCTAACCGTGTAAACAAACATAACGATGCTATGAAAGGTCCACGAAAGGTATTGCAATAAAATATAAAATATAATCGAAGAAATGATAATAAACACGCAGTGAGCATTCAATTATCATGGGATACGTTTGGTAATGATCAGTAATGAGAATTGCTACTATTTTTTGTTAAGATAATGTGACAAAATCACTGATATAATAATTTACTACAGCCGCTATTATTTATTCTCGCTAGAAGTCATTTGAAGTTGATGTAGAAGTCCTCTGTTGCCAAGTTAAAAGAAAGGGAATCTTTCGAAAATCGTAACTGGGTAATCGAACCGGATCATTCCAAGGCAATCTACGCAACGCAAAACGAAGAAAGCGACGTTGAACAGATTCGGCACCGTTGTTGTAGTTTAGGTTCCAAACCGCTGAACAATACTCAAGCGTCGATCGAACAAGCGAACCATAGAGAGATTTTAGACAGTAGATATCAGTGAAGTTTTTAGCTATCCTAAAAATGAACCCTAAAGTTCTTGACGCCTTATCAACAACATATGCAATGTGTTGCTTGAATGAAAGCTGCGAATCCAAGATCACACCCAAGTCTTTCACCTGATTCATGCGTTCGATTGTCGAGCCAAGCAGGTCATAGCTAAAATATTATCGGTTGTTGTTTTCGTGAGAACGTAATAGCAGAGCATTTGGCTGGGTTCACTACCATTCTGTTTAACCTGCACCAACTAGTGAATACATTCAGTTGACGTTGAAGAAAGTGACAGTCAGCAATGGAGCAGATTCGTAGGAAGATTTTGCTTATACATTTCATAAAACAAACCACATAGCTCGCCACATAGGTCCTATAAGAATGCATAAAAGGTATGTGTGACCGCTTATACATTTTATTTGACACATGATCTTCATTAACTTTTTGCAAGGCGTCTTATTAGTTATACATATACATATACATTTTAATAATAATCAGCAATTTATGCAGCACGTTGTGGTCCGACCTCGGCTCCGACTGTACGCAGAAAAAAAAGTTGTTGAATATTACATTCAAACAGCTACACAGAGATCATTCCGCCTGTTGTGCAATATTACGCTGTACGATGTACATCGATTTTGCGAACAAAATTACATCCATTGATGTAATATTGTATCTGCTTTGTGCTATTACATCTTTATTTCATACATCAGCTTGAATTACGTTGATCGATATTACATTTTTTTTTTGCTGTGTAGTCCGTATTGCCCGTATCTCCCCTATTATTTTAGTACAAGGTATGCGTGTGCGAATCGTGATACGTCAAACCAAAACAAAAACAAATTCGTTTTGTGAATGTTTTTGGCAGTGCATTTATTTAGGCATTTTCGTTCCAATTCAGTAAAGTTTGTGTGGCATACATAATGTCCGACAGCCAGAAAAAGGTTGGTAATATTTTGTCCAACATAAGCCCTCCCTCGGAGTTGCCGAGCTTCGTTACGACAGCTGCTGTCTCGCAACCATCTGGTGTCACCGTCGATACTACGCAACAGCAATCGACAATGGAGGAAGAGCAATCTTCTAGACGAGATCCTGAATCGGACCCGTTCATACCAACCACATTTAGTCCGGCAATACCGTCCAACAAGGACACCTCGACTATGGCAGGGGGAGAGTCGGACTGCACAGAGACGGCAGGCAGTACCGCAAGGACGAGCAAGGATTTCGCCAGCATGGTTCTGAATCCCGACCCACTGGCAGATGCTTTGAGCCCAATTACGCAGGGTGGGTCGGCTTTGTTCGGCTGGATGAAGGGAGCCGTTAGTAATAATGGCATTCTGCAGAAGGTAGCGGAAAAGGCCAAGAGCTCGGTCGATACGATTGTCACCACGCTGGATCCTCAGATGAAGGAGTATATCAGTAGGATTTTGACATTGTAATGTTGTAGATTGGATTTTGTTTAACGTTTTTCCGACTCTTTAAGATTCTGGTGGCGATACTGAGGTGATTGTAGCGTCAGACAAGGACGATAAGGTTCGACCCATAAGGGAAGCATTTCAAACGGTTTTTGGCAAAGCTACTGTAATGTATGTGGCTAGTTGGGTTGAGTACTGTTTATTCAAAAATGATTATTTGGAACAATTCTGTTTCAGAGGCCTATCCACTCAAACAGCAGGCATCGCTGCTCAACCGGTGGGATTTGCAGCCGGGCTTAAGGGAGCAGAGCAGAGAATCAATAGCATTCGAGCGGAGAATCCTAGGGTGGATGATCATCTACCTGTCGTAGCAGTTGAAAGCTTTTTGGTTGAGCTCTTCCCAGATCAGTAAGCAAATTAACACTTATTGGTGTATTTTCAATTCGTTTTCTTTATCAATGACCTATTACAGATGGTTCGACGCAGGTGTAATCGTACTGTTTGATTATGCTAAAAATATCCTACTGAAAACGGTCACCCAGATGACACCGATTCCACTGCCTATCGTCACTTCAATTCGGGCTGATACGCCTGAGGACTATGAGCTGAAAGATACAGGATTTGCCATTACGGTTGGCAGTGTAATGGCAAAGAATTTAAATGTTGGTTTTCTGACAGACAATTGAAAGCTTGTTGAGTATCTTCGACTTTACCTATTTCTAGACACCGCACACGGAGTGGCACAAAACGTATACATCGGTGAGTCGTTCGGAGATGATCCTGAGTGCGGCCAAAACGGTTGCCACACTTTACAAGCAAGCTGTGGCAGAATACGCAAGCACCCTAGGCATCGCGATGGACCCCAGCGAATAAGGTTTGCTGAAAGCCAGCATATCAACTGGGTGTAGATGCGGACACTACTAGTGGGAATGCTGGTTTGTATTAGAGAATTATTTCATCCCTCTTCGCAGATGAGTTTCGATAGGAAAAGACGATTAGACTACGACGGGCGCTGTTAACGTTGGCAACAGAACGCGCTACTACAATACGGGGGGACTACAGCACTATTATGCATTGTTAGAGTTTACGATTTGCTTGACTCCACACACACACAAACACACTCAAACGGAGACGTGTATTACCGAGAGAGGGAGCATAATATATACCTACCTACCATTAATTAATTCTTCAATCGTAAGATGAATATCATTTTTATTACTGTTAGGTTATTCTAAAATTATCAAAATAATAAAGTAATCGAGTATTATGTACGACATGATAGTTAAATATTTTCTCGAATCCAGTCCACGTACGAGGAGATTCTGGCGAAGACTCCTGGATTGCCGTTGGAACATTGTTCTCCGTAGCTGTAGAATCCGACAAGGTGCGGCGTCACGGTAGTGTTACCGTTCAGCTCATTATCATCGGGTTTGAACCACATTAGTTGGTCACCTATGCTATAGCAGCTGGAGGATGTGTCTATGTTGATTTGGTCGGCGCACAGCTGGTGGGAGCTGATCTTTCGTTTGTAGTCTCGTTGGCAGTCGGTGTTATACATCGGTACCATCTGGGGTCGATCTGAGTCAGGGATGCCTGGAAGAATAATGATCTTTTCACTGATGTTTGTATATCGTTCCATTGAAGGCAACAATACCGCATGGATGCTTGCTGCGTTGCGGCAAAGTGACAGCTAAATCTATTGTCTAAAGCAAACCCCACACGCATCAATATATTGACGCGAAGGGGAATTATTGACAATAATATTGATGATGTGAATTCAGAAATATTGTCAATCTCGATATATTGACGTCAATATAGCATGTATTGACAGTACGATTATTGTCAATAAAAGCAATCGTGTAGGGTTCACTTAACTGTCAAATTTACGTCAACGCAACGCAAACGGATCTAATGTGGGTGACCCTTTAGAATGGAATGAAATAATTACAGGGTTGAGTGGTCAATTCTGCCCAGGGTTGTGTTGTAGGCAAGGTTGCAAATACTCATTTCAGCTAAAACAATGTTTTTTTTTTTAAATTATGAAATAATTAGATGCTATGATCATATTTTGAATTGGTAAGATACAAGAGGAGGTTGCAAAGAATGTGTTTGACATATTAAACTTGTTTATTTCACTTCATGAGAGTCACAATCAGCGATTTTTCACACACTCACTCACTCACTCAGTGATTGTGACTCATAGAAAGCAAAATTTACAAGTTTTATGTTTCAAACGCATACTTTGTAACCTCTTCTTGTAAGTTACAAGTAACACATGTCATCATACCATCTTTTGGTTTTATTATTCCGAAAAACATTATTTTAGCTGAAATGAGTATTTGCAACCTTGGTGGTAGGTAGATATGGTTGGTATAAATCAATAATAATAATAGTAGTAATACAAGCTGAGCATTTCTATTGCTAACAACATGTATTTCAATATACACTGAAACAAGGATCATAGTTAGGAATACCTTTTTTTTGCAGAAAACACTTATTATCAATATAACCACGCTTATTACTGTTAAATCTACTATGAATTCAGTATAGTTGACTACGAATGTAAAACAATTTACTATGATTCTGGCGAAACTACTACGCTTGCTCAAATTGCATGGTAATTTTGATAGAAATAATAGTAAAATTAAATGAAATTCTTTTCTGCACAAATCTATTGGTGAGGTTATTTAATATTGTAATATCACAGACAAACAGACATAACACTCGTAAGTTGTTCATCGAACGATTTAAAAGTATCGTAGTTGGTAGTACCACCACCTGTGGCGCGCATAGTCAATTCCCTTGCGTTTGACGTTTACACACTGCCGCCATCTGTTCAACGTAGTGCCCACCACTGTGTACTCAATAGATGGCGGTAATGTTTTAGTGACGATGTTTTACAGTGCGAAATATTCAATGTGTTATGTCTGTTTGTCTGTGGTAATATATCAAGAGCAAATTTTCATTACGTCGAATGTAACAAAGGTAAACAAAGTCGAGCTATCAGTGTCAATCGATGCTCCTGCTATTACACTATATACTGTCCGAATATAGGATCACATCCCATTTTTAAATTTATTTACCAGTCGAATTGCTTTTTGACGTAATCACCTTCCGATCAAAATAGTTTTCGATGTTACTTAAGTCATCCGATTTCTATGGAGATGCCGTTTGCCTTAAGTAACAGCACTGAGAAACCCGTGAAAAGTGTACTTTCGTCGTTTCGCTTTCTCATTATTAAAGTGAATAAATCGAACTGTTTGTTGCTAAGATGATTTCGGTGGTCCTAAAATGATGAATGGGCTGCACGTAAGGAGACGTAATTGATAATTCTCCCGAATATCCTGGTAAATACACTTTGACTTAAGTAACAATAGGGGCCACCAAACGACGTATAATAACTTTTGACTCAAAAACCAGTATTTCTTAGCATGAAAGCTAGCGATTTGCCTTTGTATGATTAAAACCCGGCTAAATATGTTAAACATTGCTATCACTATGAGATTATATGTGTTTAATTGGAAATAGGAATAACTTTTCGGTCATCAAAACAAAACTTTATTTTTCTCGGATCGGTGCGAATGTTACTTACGACATTATGAAAATTTGCTCTTGATATAGTATTTTTGCCAATGGATTTTGTATCAGTGTATAATAAAATCTTGTTGTTTAATTTGATCTACTAGGGGAATGTCCATTAATTATGTCACGCAAATTTGGCCCATTTTCAACCCCCCTCCCCCTTTGTCACATTTTTTGTATGGACCCTGATTTTTTTTGTATGGCTCTTCACAGTTTTCAAAACCCCCCCTCCCCCCTAAATGTGTGACATAATTAATGAAAGACCCCTAGCGAGCTCGATGCTAAATTTGAAATAAATCAAGTAAAGGCCTGTATAGAGATCGAAGCGAAGCGAAAACCTCATACAAAATACTAAAATTTTCACCAGCGTGAAAAACGCAATGGCAAATTTTTCATTTCGCTTTGAACTGTAAACAGATACGATCCAGCGAAATCTAATGTTGTGGATCGCATCTTTTTCGCTTAAGCCTAGTATACAGATCGAAGCGAAACAAAAATTGAAGCACGCGAAAAATCATGAAATTTCGCTAGCGAAAAAGGATGTGAAAAAATGTTTGTGGAACATTTTCCAGTTTCCTTTTTTCGCAGTTTACAGTTCTTCTTCTTCTTCTTCTTCTTCTTTCCTTTATTTAACGTCGGTCTCTGTTCCGCAATCTAGTGCCAATCACCGACGGACATCGATTGCCATCTATTGACGGCAATCGAATGTGCAGGAAGGCAGCTTCCACACCTGCGTAGCATATCGCACCCATTCAACACACATGGGCCGGGACCAACGGCTTTACTTCCCTTCCGAAGGAAGACGTGACCAGAGATTTTTATGCCTCAGAAAAATCCCACCGACCTCGGCTGGGATTGAACCCAGACCCATCGGGGTGCTAGAAAGCAGTCACGCTTACCACTACACCACCGGCGCCGGCAGTTTACAGTTCATGTGAAACGAAATCGATCAGTTTACACCTCCGGTGAAGTGAAAATCTGACAGATACGCTCTCCCGAAACGTCAACTTTTCGCTTAGCTGCTGCTCTTTTCGCGAGCGCTGCATGCGCGAAAAAAAATAAACGTAAGCGAAAAAGATGCGATCCACAAAATTAGATTTCGCTGGATCGTATCTGTTTACAGTTCAAAGCGAAGCGAAATATTTGCCAATTGCGTTTTTCGCGCAGGTGAAAAATGTAGTATTTTGTATGAGATTTTCGCTTCGCTTCGATCTCTATACAGGCCTTTACGTTTATTTTTTTTTTTGCACATGCAGCGCTAGCGAAAAGAGCAGCAGTTAAAGCCTAGTATACAGATCGAAGCGAAACGAAAATTGAAGCACGCGAAAAATCAAGAAATTTCGCTAGCGAAAAAGGTTGTGAAAAAATGTTTGTGGAACATTTTCCAGTTTCCTTTTTTCGCAGTTTACAGGTTCATGTAAAACGAAATCGATCAGTTTACACCTGCGGTGAAGTGAAAATTTGACAGATACGCTCTCCCGAAACGTCAACTTTTCGCTTAACTGCTGCTCTTTTCGCTAGCGCTGCATGTGCGAAAAAAATAATAAACGTAAGCGAAAAAGATGCGATCCACAACATTAGATTTCGCTGGATCGTATCTGTTTACAGTTCAAAGCGAAATGAAAAATTTGCCATTGCGTTTTTCACGCTGGTGAAAATTTTAGTATTTTGTATGAGGTTTTCGCTTCGCTTCGATCTCTATACAGGCCTTAAGCGAAAAGTTGACGTTTCGGGAGAGCGTATCTGTCAAATTTTCACTTCACCGCAGGTGTAAACTGATCGATTTCGTTTTACATGAACAGTAAACTGTAAACTGCGAAAAAAGGAAACTGGAAAATGTTCCACAAACATTTTTTCACAACCTTTTTCGCTAGCGAAATTTCTTGATTTTTCGCGTGCTTCAATTTTCGTTTCGCTTCGATCTGTATACTAGGCTTAAGCGTGTAATAAACTAGCCAACTTTGGCATGCTTCAAGTATGTTTTGCTATGTTCAATAATTATTGAGGTGAAATTTTGACATAGAGCTAGGTATTGCGAATATTTTCTAAAATTGGATTAGTTGCGCGCCTGGCAGTTACGCGCAGCCCTGTTCAGGTTGTGCGCAGCCAATAAGAAAAGAAAACCAACGTCAAAATATTCATCAGCTGATCGTACTGGTTGTTTATTTTGGAAGCAGCAAAAATAAATTCTCCTCAAATTTTTCATCTTTTTATTTGATTAGCGGTAAGTTGCATGTTGTTTTACTAAATAATCAAAGTGAGTTAACCATACACTGATGTTTGAGGGGCAAGCAATTGCCTTTTTGAATTCGTTGGATTTAAAGTACAAGGTGTTCAACTATGTTATTATGTAATTAAAAATGAAAATTAAGTCTTTCATGTAATTAAAGTTAATTTCGCGTAATCAAAGCAGTGCCAGTGTAATTACTGTTATTAAAACACGTACTTCGATTTGATTTCGCAATGAATGATATTAAAAATTTATTTTCTGTAATATATGTAATCCTAAATCCTTATTCATGATCTATTTAAAAAAATTAAGAAAACCCTCAACACATAATTGAATGAATCAATTTATTCAAAAACTCTTCTTACATCTCGGAATACGCCCATATATGTTTTACTAGACTACGAACATGACCAATTCTGCAAATACTTGTACTAAATTTCTTGAAGCATCAAGCTAGAGTTGGAAACTGAAATAATCCACTCGCGTCAATCGATTTCACTCTCGTTTTGTACATTAAACATAATTTCGTATCTATTGCACTGTATTCGTTGAATAATGCGCTCTAATGCGCACAAGATGCGACGTTATGTTTAACATATAGTAAAGAACGAGAATAAAATCGATTGTCACGAGTGGGTTATATCGGTTTACAAGTCTAGCGACAATACAAACAAATGCACGAGGGGGGCGACACATCTAGATCTCAAGTTTGGATGCTCAACAAATCTCACACTAGCGAATCAATCTTCGAAAAATCTTCTTTCATTTGTCGCATCTACTTGCATCGCTCATCATCTTTTTGCAGGAGATCTTCAGAATCGTTATCAATCTTCTTTCTATCTACTCAGCGTGTGCGCAGCTAGCCACAGCAAAACACAATCTTTTCTGCATCGTAGATAGAGTCGTCCCCCTCGCAAATGCATCACTTAATTGTGACGTTAAGTGACAAGTTTTCTCCGGAAAGTGACATCCGTTATAAGGCCCAATATCAATTTTGAAATGTTTAATTAGAACCTCAACTTTGAGTCTTCAAATTTTACATTTCCTCAAAATCAAGCAAATCCTCGAGCGATTTCCTCCTGATTAAAAAATGTTCGAATTTTAAGCTATGCTCACAGCACAGTGCGAAAGATGATGATATTAGCTTGTGCCTGAATTAACAGATTCAATAAAATATGCATTTTCAGTTGCATTAATTTTCTAATGTTACGCGTGAATTCTTCGATTCTTTCAATATTTCTCTCAAACTAAATATTATAATATAAATAATAATTTACAGATTTAAGGGAAAGTTCACTGCTTAAAAAATAACGTTTTGATTTTTCTAAAAATATTGGAAAAAGCTCGGGAAAGAGGTATTATGAATCTTTTTTTTTTCTTATTATTTTCTAAAGAAAATTCACGTACAAAAACATTTTTTGTAAGTCATCATGGCATAAAGTTAGACCACCGACAAACCGACATGAATGACCATAGCAAAAGCAAGAAAATTTCTGACCAAAGCACACTACTGACATCTGGCTCCATGTTCGCGGGAAATATTTAGCTAAGCCATGAACCCGCATACAAAAGTTATGAATTGGTTCGTGTCTGATCTATTCTGGACAAATTATTTTTATCTAGATCAAAAAGTGTTAATGCTGAATCACTGTTAACGTCGTTAACTATGATTTTGGTTAACACGATAGCACAGAGAACAGAAACTTGTGTAAAGATAAGTTGAAACATCGCCGATACGTGGCGCTAGAATCTTCTGATTTCCTCTACAAATTTTACACTTTCAACCAATTTGACGCTGGTGCCGATACATTTTCTGTTGAAAATTGCCACTCGCCGCTACTAGTGTCTAGTGTAAGTAGTGCAATGCCATCTCAATCATATTGACAAAGAGGAGAAGTCGGCGTTGGTGGGGCTTAAGTCGAATGGGAATCTTTACACTAGTTTTTACAGAAATAATGTTAGAACCTCAATGTCCTTACCTTGATAGAGTCGCAAATATAAAGGAGTATGAGTTAAATTCGCCCAAACACACACCGGAAAAACTGCGGCACTAGGGGTAATGGGCCGATCCAATTCCACCAGCGCGATATCATTTACCGAACGGGTTCCGTCGTACTTTGGATGAACGGTAGTTTTCCGAACTGATACAGTGCTGCCATCTGCCAGTAATGCTTTCCCAGGGCTATTCGATGCAACGCAGCTGGCCGCTGTAACTGCAGTCCGCTTTGTGACCAGGGACCCCAAGCAAGAAGATGTTGTTCCGGTCAGCGTAACCATGTGCGGGACCAGGGTTGCTGATTTTCGGTAGATTTCGTTGTACCGTTGATGTAGTCCAGCGTATTGGGTACTACAGGTATCCAACTCATTGTTTTGATTTCGTGCACGTTCTTTCTGTACAAACCGAGTTGGGCAGCACACAACAGTCGTCGACGAGCAGAAATGGACGATCCTCTTTGCATTCAAGTCATCCCACACTTTGGGGCATCTTGTGTGGTGCGTACAGATGCCGGGTGTATCTTCATCGTATTCGTAGTCACAGGAATCATTTTCCTTCCAATCGGGGTTGACGAATTGCACCGCACTGTCTCCACGGAAGTTTGGAAGAAGAACCGTTTTCAGCCAGTCCACGTGGGAAAACAGCCTTGTCGATACTGCAGCTTCGCCAAAACCACAATCTCGTCCGAATGAATTCAAGCCGTAGACATAGGTGTAGTAACGATTATTACGCCCCATGGCCCGCTGCATAGGAGCTCCGTAGATCAGGCGGCATGATCCGGGAACTAAGAACAGTGGATTGCCAACGCAGAGGTGCTCGTTGGATATGCCACGTGTAAGGCGTGATTGGAATTCAACCGGGATAGTACAGTTTTGGTCCGAGTTGACACTGGCCCGCGGTAGGAGAAACCTTTCGGTGGGTTCTGCGGTGGTGAGAATATTGAAATAATTGGTCATCATTGAAATATGCATGTATGTTATGTACTAACCGGAAAGTAAGTCAAATTTTGCACCCCTGTTCATATAATTGATGTCGCTACGACCAATCCCGGCGACCTGTAGCTGCGGGTCAGGAATGCTCTGTGAATGCCATATGCATGCCGGAGTAAGAGCGGAGGACAACTTGACTCTATTTTTAAGCTTTAGAACTGCAATATTGTTATACAGTGACTGCTCTCGGTACGCTGGATTAACGATGGTTTCAGCAATCTCTATACGTTCGTTATTGTTCAAATCAACGTAATTTGCAGAAATTCTGGAATGTGGACATGATCACATGATTGATTTGAAGAAGGAACTATGCCTAAGCTCATACCCGGTATGCGAGGTGCATTCAGCCAATGTTAGAACGGTATCGTCCGCGATCAGAGTTCCACTGCAGTTATCTCGTCGAATTCTCCGATTATTCCAACCGATTTTAACCTACCAACATTATTTCAAATTTACTGAAAATACTTGCAGCAATATTTTTTTGACAAAACGTACCACATGGTTGAGCTCTCCTGAGTTGAAGGTCATATGTGTTTTCGTAGCATCAAGTGTTATGTAATCTTTCGACTTACTAATGATAATATCATCTTCATACTCCCTTAGGTGGACATACCGGAGTGCGCATGTGATCGGATCCAAACTCCCGTCTGGCGGAAAAGATAGTCATTAGTTTTACCCCAATGCCCATCCCTAATGGTCAGTCTAGTTACCAAACACGTTGCTCTCCTGGCTGCGAATGGTCTGTTCGATCCAGCTGTAAAACGATGATACTCGCGTGTACACACCAGGAGTGGACGTTCCACAAGCCGTCCCGAAAGAAGTTATGCCAACCAAAAATGGTGACATTTTGGCATTGTGGAGCAACCTGACTTGAAGAGGACCACCGGAATCTCCCTGAAAGTAGCTGTGTTTAAAATATCGAACTTTTCGCAAAACTATAGAGGCAATTACTGGACAGGTATCCATCCGTTCGTCTCCCGCGCATATCTGATGATCTTTGATACCTTCGCGTAGTCTTCGGTCTATAGTTCCATATATTTCATGGCACGCGGCATTACTGATCGGCTTCAGTGTCACTTTCAACAACGATGGTGTTCTTTCCAGGCCTGAAATTGGGGATGGACGTTGGTTTTATTAGCACTGCAATGATCGTAAGATTGATATCCAGTACCAAACCCAGTGTCTCCCCATCCGGTGGCCTCCAAGGTAGGAAATCGAACGTCGTCGTCTTTCCAAAGGCATGCTGGGGCCACCGTGGGATGAAGTCTGTAGATAAACAGAGCAGAGATGGGTGTTATTTCGAAAATAAGAATAGTGGAGATAGGGATAGGAAAGGGGCACCCTCAATATATTATGAAAATGAAGACATTTGTAATGCTACATATAAACCTGTATCAATCCATGCGACAGAAAATCAATCAAGGAAAAAAAAAGATTTCTGGATTTCCTATTTATTTGTATAACTATGTCTGCATTGAGACGTCACTATTAATGATCGTTATGATGATGGTTCCTATACACACAAAAAACTAAAATTGTTTCAATAAATATAATGCATTTTCAAATTAAAAGTTTCCCAAAATCCGTAGTTTCAACTGCGAAAATATTGAACATAACATTTATCTTTTCACCTTAAAAGTTTTTCTTTCACTTCCGACTTGTAAATTTAAAAGTACATTTTTTTGAAAGTAAACTTGTACAACTGTCAAAAATACATCTTTAGAGGTCGTTTTTACTGGCAGCACTGAACTCTCATTTGCCGCCTTTTCCGATAGTGGAAATTTGGTCAGCCGTCTGCTGCAGAAATTTGGGACAACAAATTTTTAAAAGTAAGTCAATTTGTGAATCGTTGAAGTTATTGTTGGTTTAATGGATCTCTTTATTGGGAAAACAATTTAGCTCACATTTATATTGTTTTTCGACATTCATATAGACTCCCTCTGAAGGTCATCACTGTTTTCCCGAAACTGTTTCCTCCATCCCATCGTACACAGCCGGCGGAACTGAAGCTCACTGCATCAGCTGTGGTTGCTCCGCCGGAAAAGCCTAATTTGGACTTCAAACGATTATCGATTCAAAATTGAATTTCCCTAGTAGGGCACCAGATTCACACGGAACATGTACTATGCTACCCTGGAGCAGGGTTCTGCATTTTCGAAACAAAGAAAAGAAAATGAACTCTCCGCAGAATCGCTTCATTTCGAGCAATATCCTTTTCGTGTAAGACATCGTGTTTCTTGTTATCGAGTCACGATCACCCCGGGAGCTATTTGACAGCACCAGTATAATGTCAATGTACCCCGAAAATTCTGGTACTCTGGTTCTGTCAAATCGAATAATGGTGGAGTAAATTTACAATTGGTCTTATTTTTGATCAACTCTTTTTTAAACGTTTTTGAGTTTTGTTTTTGTAAAAACATTGATATTTTTCTCATAGTTGTCCAATCGACTCAACATAACGGGATCGGAAAATGCCTATCTGTGAGAGCGCGTAACATATTTTTCTTAAATGAATTTCTCGGCAACCACTCTACCGAATTGAACGCAACAGCCATCAAATGAAAGGTACCATGATTCTATAGAATGCCCCAATAAACATGTACCATTCACTAACGATATCATAGATGGTACGACCATACCACATAAAGTTAGTATGATAATCCGAATTGGTGGTTAGGCGCTTCTTATGGTTATTGTTAATGCGGGTGTTGATTAATAGATTTTCAATCGAAGAACTGGTCTCGAAGATATGGACGGAACAAGACCCGAAAATCGCGAAATTCGCGATCTAAACGAAGCAACCAGCTAAATTTGACCGGTATGGAATAAAACCTATCATGTTACAAAACAAATTACTTCAAAATATGTTAACCAATTCAATTGTGGCCATTTCGAGCGCCGTGGATCACATTGGTCAGTTCCGGGCATGTCCCAGATGCCCCCGAGGAATTACCCAAACCAGACCAAATAATGAATTTTGATTTCATCAAATCGATTAAATTCCAAGATATGAGGAAAATAATGCAACATCAGTAATACGTCTCACTCAAAATTTATTCTTGGCCTACTTTCGACGTCCACATGAAGTGAAACAACAACATGTTTTCTGATGTGAAAAAAGTTGTGCCACCAACGATGGCTGAACCCATTGTTTACGTACGGTGGAGACATCTACAATTTGTAAGTGGGTACGTGAAACTAAGATTTTCTGTCTAGATACTCGGGGGGTGGTCACGATGAACATTCCTCTTTTCAAACATGACAGGACTATGACTTGTTTCGTTCGTCAAGTGCTTCAGTTCATTTCATTTGAAGCAAAGACTTCTTTCAATTGACACAATGAATGACTCGAAAACTGCTTCCTTCGTTTTTTTCCACTTTCACTTCAATTCGGGGCTCATTCGACTTGCCACGACCTGACGACGCAGGCATCAATATATAGTATCTGGATAGTATCCGCACAATATCGGTTGCCGATAGGGATGGCATCCGGATTATATGTAGCAATAATATATTATTTTATATTAAACGAAAATTAAATCAACAAGGCCATTCTGGACTCCAAGATGGCAGCCATCGGGGTCAGGGAAGGTCTCAAATACCCTACAATAGGGTATTTTCGAAACGGGGATGCCGCGCAGATGCTGAAAATCGATAACCGACGCCATTTTGGAATTCAAGATGGTGGTCATCAAGTTTCATAAAATGTGTCAATTACCCTAAGATATGGGTATTTTCGGAACGGAGACAACGCGGGCTGCCGAAAATTGATATCCGATGCTATGTTGGACTCCAATATGGCAGCCATAGGGTTTCAGAAAAAGGTCAGCTACAATATCGTTATTTTCGGAACAGGAACAACGCGTAGAGCTTGAGCTTGAGCTTGAGCTTGATTGACCGCCCACGGTTGCTACTCTGTTATTGCCAGATCAGCTGTAATTACACAGAGAACCAATAGACGATGCTTGGGACTAGCAATCATCCTCAATGTGTAAAAACTGGTGATCTTGAATTAGGCAATACCAGCGCCGGCCGCGCCCGAACACAGGTCAAGAAAGGAATGGGAAGGATTGTGTTGACATGACACTCGCTTTGATGGAAGCCGAGAACACCTCTGCACTTCCACGAGGAATCACTGGGATGTTGGATAAGAGGGTTGGGTTTGCAGCAGGGTTCGTTTTGGTAAACGATAAGCTGAATTAATGTCCTAACGATCATATAACGCGAAGGAGCTTGGGACTAAACCCACGGTTTTCTGCTCAGTAAGCAAAAACGTTTGCCACTAGGCAGACGAGCACCTTTTTAATCACCGAGTTGCTGTTATTACCATGTAGTCATATTAACAAATAAAACGATTGACGAATCTTGATTGTGGATGGGCCTGAGATTAGACTCATGATGTTCTGCTCAGTAAGCAAAAACGGTTGCTCTAAGGCCACCGAGCCCCTCATATCACATAATACCGTTGCTCAAATTTTTGTATCCATTCAAACCCGGAACCAACGACAACAACGAGTTTCGCAAAATACACGATACACAAGCGATTTTACTATAAATCTCTTTGATATGTAAGAACCTGGGACCGCGTTTTTCTGCTCAGTAAGCAGGCCACTGTAACCGACGATCTTTCAAATCCGAAAACTAAAAACTACGAAAAAGTACTTAGGCCTTCATTAAGTTCCACATTCACGCGACGTACAATGTTTCAATTTGCTCTTTACGTATTGTTCAGGCTAGGCCCTTTTCAAAATTTACGCGAGAAATACGCACAATCGTCACCTACCTCGCAAAACTGGTTCCAAACGACAACAATGGCATAAGCAACGATGGATTGTTGAACTTTGCTGGCTCCGGTGGTGTAGTGCACAGCAAAAAAAAAATGTAATATCGATCAACGTAATTCAAGCTGATGTATGGAATAATGATGTAGGGTAGATGTACCAGCTATGGCTATACGCTCCTATTATGATGTGCTCCAATCATGGCATATAGGATTTCCATAGGCCATGATTGGAACACACCACAACAGGAACGCACAGCCATAACTGGTACATCTACCCTAATTGTAATTTTGTAATTTATCCGCACACACCCTGGTCGACCACTGTAAACCAATCTGCCGTAAAGCGTTTTCGGTTTTTGTTTCTGGATCTTTAGTTGCCTCTGTGATATACTTACTTGCGGCATACTATTTTGGGAGTGTATATGAGCGTGTACCATGTACGGTAGCTCATCTCTCATCGTGATGGTGGGACATAGTAGACAAATTAGAGAGAAAACAAGGAGGTATTAGTATTAGTTATATGTAAACAAACAAAACAAAAGTTAGATAATGCGGCACTGTAACTACTACTATTTTAGAGGTATGATTCGTCATGTTTAACTCAATGTTTCAATTGAGGCAAACTATCTATCTTACAATTACAAAAGCAAACCTAAACTTACAATTATATGCAAATGCAAAATGAAACTTGACAAATCATCGTCAATTCCCTTATTCCAGGGCAGGGCCTGACGATTTGAATCTAATTTTGATCAGTGAACGGGCACCATATGGTACATTTTCTCACCATGAACCTATCATTTCCAGCCTATCTGAACTATTTAATAAATGGAAGCCATAACATGGGTTACGCTCCCCCTAAGCGGGCCCTCCGCATCCTGTCTCTGTCTTATCTCAAATACAAAATGCCAATGGTATGAATGTATCTATATATAACTTGGAAATGACGTACAATCAAATAAACCCGTAACCCACTCACTTGGTCAGGCTTCAGAATCGTCCAGTGGGCAGTGCACTCTACACTCCAAGTTCCCTTTTTTTCAAATTTACCGCAAATTTGATATTTTACCCATTGAGTGTTGATTAGTCACAATGAAACATTGTGACAGAAGTTGAGGTTACTAGTGTATTAAATAATCTAGGTCCTATTTAGGATTATATCTGAAAAATCCAAATCTGGCCAACGCCCACCCTAAACCTAAACCTGTTCTAATCCACCTGAAATGACTAACGAATGGAAGACTTTGACTACCCAGCCATGCAATAGTCTCATTCCGTGCCTTATGGCAACTTGATGATTCTATTGCGCTCATCTTCTGGCACCACCCAGGGGAGACTTGGTCCTGTACCCAATGCTTAACTTATCTCCATTCCACTCAACTACTCGCAATTTCGTGTGATATAGTGGGCGGAATATTATTATATGAGACAATTCAATGCAGACGTCTTTCCAAATTTGGCAGATCGACAGGTAATCGGTGAG